CAATGCAATGGTCAGCTCTTCTTGCAGGAGCTGGCACAGTGAGCAGCGGGGCTGGGAGCTGCTGCTTCTGATCTGTAACTTGTTTGTTTGGGCTTGGGTTGGTAAAAAAGTCAAGGAAGTGAATGATGAGGAGAAAGAAAAATAGTTGTACTTACCTGAATCACCAGCTGAGACCCTAAATAACCTACAACATTAAATGGGTTTGTTTGCTGTTTCCATGTTTAATACATAGAGATGTCAGACAGCAGTTTGCTGAAGAAATCTTTTGTAATAATAAAAGTATTATGTTGCTGTGAGTGTGTTACTGTTCTCCTGGGAAGCTGAGCACTTCAATGAATACCATGAGTGTCTGTATCATGGCAACAGGAGGATACAGCCAGAGAACATGTGGCTGTAAGATGCCCACTGTCTAGGGCACATCAAATTTCCTACAATACTTCATTCCTCTGCTCTGAAATGAAGGCACCAGTGAGAGGTGTCTTGGGAAGTCAGCCAGCATAATCCTTGCTTCAGGAGGAGTATCAGCAGTCTCGGGTCTACCACACATTCATCCCAAGGCTGGAGCTGTCCTGGGGAAGCCTGCAAAGGTGTCCTGGAGCTGCACTGCTGTTCCCACTTGCCTGGGTCTTCTCATCAGGCTCCAAAGTCTAGCACCAGATCTGGTCTGGTGGAGGTGATGTTTAGCGAAGTGACAGACTGCTGCTTGCTTCTCAGAATAACAGGATGTGCCTTTATTTAGAGGCACCTCAGATAAAAGCCACATGCGGACAGGCAGGGACACCACCTTACTGCTAAGGGGCCAAAGCTGGATGGTTCTTCCAGATTCCGCAGCCCAAGCAAGCAGACCTGCATCCTGCCTGGTTTCCACTGCAGGATGGCCAGTTTGTGCAAGCCCAAAGGAGGGCAAAGCCAGTTCCAAAGACAGACTTTCCTCCTGTGCAGCATCATGCTGCAGTAACTTTCCTTTGTAGGTCAATATTTGTAAGTGTTAATTTGCATAAATTATTTGCTAATTCAGCTTGTTGAAAAGTGGTGGGATGATTCAAGATGCAGTTGATAAACCCTTTGAAGCTGCTCTTCTGACTTTTGTTACTGGAGGAGCTCTGTTTCGTTCCTGCTCTCATATTTAGCCACTATAAATCGAGGCAGGATAACATCTGGATGTTTTAAGTACTTGGCAGGTCTGCCGCCGAGGAGGATTGCCGGTTACATTTGTTTAGACAGAGCTTTTTATATTCTGATATGTTGCCAGGACCTCTTCCTGAGCAAAACTCCTCTAAGCACAGTCTTACAACAGCAGCAGTTTTCCAGAAGGAAGAGCTTACATGAGTTTTCTTCTGGGCAGGAGCCAGCGCTTGTGGAGGGACACTCAGAGGTCGCTTCCTAGGGCTTCCCCTGCAACCCTGCTGTGGAGCCAGCAAGATAGTTCATCTCTTCTGAAAATCTGCTAGCTTCCATATGTAAGGATACTTGCCTTTCTTTCAGTCACCTTCAGCCTTGATATAAACTGGTCTTCCAGCAGGTGCCAGTATCTCCTTCAGAAAAGAGCGGTGAGCGTTCTCGCCATGGAGGCGCAGCAGAAGCTGCACCGCCTCGGGGCTGACCAACACTGCCTTGGTGTCAGTCGTATTTTAAGACTTTCAGGGTCATTTTGTCCTCTCCTGCTTTTTGTTGCTGTTACTCAGAAGGAACATCCCAATCCTGCACGGGGAGAGTTAGCGGGTTTGACACCAAAGCGCAGTGTGAACCCCTGTGTTCTCCTAAGGCAAATGGGAACCAGAAGACTACAGTGAGTGTGAGAGCACAGAGGGAAAGTCACATTCGTCCCATTAAAGGGGAATGGGCAGCTGATCCCAGGGTTGCTTTGAGACCGTTTTAAAGAGGTGCTCTCTTTGTTCCCCTGTAAGAACTGGGAGGAAAACTTCGGGCTGAGGAACACTGACCTCCTTACTTTCTGGATGCATGCGGCATGCTGTTCACTGCTTCAGCAGCTGCCCTTGCAGGGGTGGTCGGGGGGTGAAGTCTGGGAGCAGCTTTGTGTCTGAAAACACTCAGAGCAAGGCCACAAGAAGAATCCTTGACAAAGGTGGATTTAACACCGAGGCTGCGGAACAGCCAATGAGCTGCACTGCATCAGCATCAAGTGTGCTGCAGAATTAGAAATTCTTTCTGAAAGCTGATGACTTTGCCTTTGAGGACTGAATCTGTATATTACTTTTTTTTTGTTAAAGGAAATCTACTGTAATTGTCCTAGTCATAAGGGAAGTTCTGCTAAAAAGGAAATACTGATTGAGGAGGGAACATCTGAAGCTCATCACTCCCATACTGTGAGACCTAATTTTTCACTCACATGCTTTCAGTCAGATTTAGAAGCACCTTTGACTTTAAAAAAAAAAATCTGATGCTCCATACCTGAATGGTGGCAGATGGTCTTTGTTTCTTGATGAATCTTTGGGGTTTGTGTGCAATAGAGTTGAGGGATTTGCTTCCAGGGAAGATTCTCCCCAACACCTGCTCTTCTTAGAGACAGCAGTAGTGTTAGCTACCTATTTGCATCCATCGTTTTGCAAAAAGACGACTTCTTGGAGATCTCTGCTGAGACTTTAATATTCCCCTTCCCCAAAGCTGTTTAAAAGGAGGAAACTATAACAGAGAGGATGTTGCCAAATCCAAAGCAGCTAAGGGTTGCGAGTTTGGGGGAGGCTGTGCTTATTTGTTTTCCTAAAGGCACTAAACACCTATTCTAAACAAAGAGCCGGTACAGCATTTGGATCCAAGAGACTCCAGCCTTGGTTGTACACAATACCACCTGCTCCAGCTTTCTCCAGCTACAAACCACAGGCAGAAGAGATAAGAGGGAGAGGGAGGAACAGGATCAAACAGCATACACTGCTGTTGGAACGGAATAAGAAGAAAAACTGAAGCAGCTGAGTGATTCACCCCAAGTTCTGCAGTGCTCTGGCTTACCCTTTCTCCACTACTTACCACAAGGATTTGTGCCTGAGATGCTGAGTACGTAAGTAACAACTGTGTTGCCTGTAGAAAGCCTAGATGCGTCGCACTGAAGTTCTGCCTGAACACCAGCTGCTCCTCCCTGACTTATTTCTTGGAATTTGCCTCAATTTATTCATTCCCTCCTGCTGCTGCAGGAGCAGAGTGTTAAATGATAGGGAAGGTAAGAGGAAGAACACGTGAATGCCAAAGGAGAGCAACATGACCCATCATTAAAAACACCCAACACCACTGTTAGTAAAAAGATTCCTTGCTGTAGGAAAAGCTTGCCCATGCACCTGTAAATGCATCCAATGGGTTCTCTGGGGCTAGCAAGGCCCCGAATCCACTCCTCACACTGTGAAGCACGTTTCCAGGTTTGGGGACACCATTTCACAATCTCCCAATCCATTTACTGCTGGTGGTATCTACTGTGCCCACTCCCGTGGCAGGCAGCACTCAAACCACCAGTGCAAGGGCCTCGTTCAACATCGCTCAGGACCATGAGGAGCCATGAAGCTTACCCAGCTCTGCACAGGACTCCCCTTCACTGTTGGCAGCTGCCTGCCTCTACTGAAGACAAAGCCAGTGCCCTGGTAAGGGGACAGACAGTCTGTGAAAACAGCCAAAGTGATGCGTGACACATCTAGGAAAGTCAGGCTGAAATACCCTGCTAGTTAAACAAGGAAATTTCAGATCTAATCAAACACAGTTGGGTCCCATAATTTGAACATGGAGCTCACCACCACATCCAGCTGTTGAGCCCTGATTTAGAGTATGATGAAAACCAGCTCCTTCCCCATTATGGGGTGGCAGCACCGCATAGGGAACACGTTGGAAGCGGTCAAAGTCCCATCAGGACTCGCTGTGCTTCCTCTTAGCAAGGAACTGCCCACCCCAAGGTGGTGACCCTCACAGGAACAGGTTACAGACCCACACTGGGTCACCATGGCTCCTATGGCCCTGTGCAGCCAGGCAGGGCACAGAGCTTCATTAGCATCCGTAAAGCACAGATTTGCACCATACTGCCGAAAAATATTACCAAGATTTTCCTGACATACCCAGAAATCACTTGCAAGCACCTCTCTATTGCAAATACTTTCATGCTTGTGCTGAAGCCGCAAAACTAACAGCACTCTGAGCTGCAAAGGAGACACCAAGAGACTGTGCTATCAAATGAGAGCCAGGACAAATAACTTCTGACATGCTGTAGGCTCTATAACAAAATTTAATACTCTGAAATTACAGACTGCCACCCACAGAGCTGCTTACAGGTACCCTGAGGAAAGCTTTAAAGCAAAAGAGTTGCTATAAATACTTTTTGTCCTGCTAGCTTGACAGTCTTTCCCCTCAAATATTTTTGCCCTCTATTTTCTTAGAAAAGGGATTTACACATAACATGGGAGTTACTCAGGAATCCAGATGTGTGCAAGAGAAGTCATGCACCTGTGATTGTTCTTCAGCAGGGATTTCACCATGTCCTCAAAGAAAAAAAGGCCAGTACAGGGTGGTAAGGACTCCTTTCTGCCTTTGACAGGACATAACACCATCCCCTGTACCTCACAAATCAGTGGTAAAAACGCCCATCTTGTTTTCAGTGCCCGAATCAAAAATCTGGAGAGTGGATCTGGTAGAAGGAGTCAGCAAAGTAAGCAGGTTCCCTTCCAGCAGCCATAGAAGAGCACAAAAAAAAATCCAGCGTTCATGACCAGTTTATCATTTTTTCCCAAATCTTCTGCCCCATAACTACAAGTTCCCAAATTCTGCAGTCAGACGGATCTGTGCCTGTGCCTTGAGGCAGAGGGGACAGGCATTATCCCAAATTACAGACAAATAGCAGAACCCAGGAGATGCTGCCAAGCTCTTCTGCATCTCATAGGCACAGGATGGATCCAAGCGTTCACCAAGTGCCGCACAGCGTATTCCTCAAAGGCTTGGGAAAGTGATCAGAAAGACGCCACGACACATGCTGCCACCACCTTTGTTGCGATACTTACAAGAGCTGCAGTTTATAAGTTCAGCCAAACAACGATGAAGGGGATGCTGAGGACAGAAACATTGGGAACATGGGTCCAGGCAAAGCTTTGGGCCATGCTGGGGCTGCAGAGGTCAAACAAGCTGCCTTGAAATTTGATTTTTCGAGACTCACTTTTCAGCATCTCCCAGACAGCCGCTGCTTCCTTCTGGCACTCCCAGAGCACCGTCAGGGCACACGTGTGGAATTCATCCCAGTACCTGCAGCCAGGGGAGACACCGCACCATCAGTCCCTTTGCAGTAGCACACCACCAAGGAGTGGAGCAGAGCTTTGCTGCCCCAAGCCTGTCCTTCCAGCAGTGACAACCTTGGTATTTTGTCGTTCCCTCCATCATCTCCCGCAGCATCTTGGCTAAACCTCAACACACACTGAAATTATTTAATGCTTCCCCCCCACCCACCTCTGGAAGTCAATAAAATCCATTATTTTCCATCAACAAATGTTTCCCTTCAGCACTGAGCACACTGAGTATGTAAAACAGGCTACGAACAAAGTCCAAGTGTGTTTCATTCACAGCTTTCTCCAAGCTGAGTCAAGGGCAAAACACAAGCACAAAGCAAGGAGAAGGAAAACGGCTCCCGCAGACCGTCACAGCTTTGTAACTCAGGTATGGGCAGGAGGAGCTATTCATCATGTTCTCATCAGACACTTCTCCATTTATCTGCTGGGTATTACCCTGCGCAAGCAGAAGCCATTCAATGGAAGGACGCTCTTGGGGAGCACCAGGGAAAAACAAGACGATGGGCAAAGATAACCCAGAGTCCTGCAGTAAGAAACCAGGAGCTGCTTGCTGAAGACTCCTTGGCTGCTTCCTCTGGGGACAGTGACTTGGATGGATTTTTGTTTGTTTGTTTTTTCTCCAGAGCTAGAACCATGCAGGGAAAAATCCCAGCGGAAATGGAGCTGAATGAAAATCACAGCCCCTGAGAAGACTCTCCCAGGAGGGGCATGGTGGACACCACCTCGATGGTCTGGCATGCTGGGGGATGCCAAGTGAGATGAAACCATGCTGTATTTATCCAGTGCGGTATTCAGCCTGCCAAGCTTTATCCCTTCCCTGAGCTCCTTCTTTACCTCTGGTGAAGAAGCATGGTGGCTCTGAAGAAGCTGGTTTTGAGCCATTTCCAACAAGCTCCCTGCCCACAGGTGTCAAGATGAGCAGAGAGGGGCAGGCTCCAGTTGTCCAGGGACAAGGACAGCAGGTACCAGGCTGGGCCGTGTCCCCCTACCCAGCATGAGGAGGACCAAAGCAGGTACCTCGCCCAGGTTTTTTTGGCTGCTAAGTATCTGAGGATAGTGGGGCCTTGGACTCTGTACTGGACTCCCCAAGGGCTGCTGTAGATCCTGCGATGGGGAGGGTACCCACAGCCTGGCAGGTTGCTGCATGCACAGCAGCATATCCGTAAGTCCTGACACAGCTGAATTCACACACGAGGTCTCTGTTTTGTAGTTACAAACCCACAAAAGAAGACAGCAGGAGCCAGAAAGTCTCAGCAACTGCCATGGGCCACCCTCTCCTCTGGAAGTGGTTCCTCTCCAAAACAAAAACTTCCCGAAAGGACAGATAAGGCTCTATGGCACTCAGAGGGTTTCTTTTACCTGAAAAGAGCTTTGCAAAAGCATTTTGTGTTGCAGTTTCTTTGGAGCAATGCACATCCTGGCACCTGACACTGGGGCAAGGCAGAGACCAGCCACAGGCAGCACCCTGCTGGGTCCTAGCCAGCTCCCCAGCCTCTGCCAGCCCACAGCACCAAGTGACTCACACCCCAAGGCACCCTCCTTCCCTCCCCCCCACCTCACTTTTGCTGTCCTGTCCCACATTTGCTGGGGCTGGGCACCACCTGCAAGCTGAGGAGCTGCCTAGAGGACAGGAGCAGTTGCTCTGCCACCTTCCCTGTGCCCACCAGGACACCGGGCACACGTGCCACCCCTTGGGAAGGGGATGCAACCCAGCCAGCCAAGCAGAGACTCTGCACATGGGAAGGGGGTGGCTTGGTTTTGTCCAAGTGCCCTGTGCTGGAGACAACCCCTTGTGCAGACACATGGACCCGAGCACTCTACTTGCTTAGTTTTCCTACCAGGGCTTACATCAGAACACCAGCTGTGAGGGAGTTCATTAAACCGAGTCACTGTGGCAGAATAAATGTCTCCAGATAATGAGAAAAGCTGGTACCAACCTAGGTAACCTCCCGTGCTCGCTCCCGCAGAAGCAGCAGGCAGCAATGCCAGGTGAGAGTTAAACCTGGCCGTGTCTTCAGGCAAAGGATGGCTGGGGGAAGGTGGAGGGGGATGACAGCTCCTGCCTGGATCTGCTTTCAGCCAGGATGGCAATTCCCAATGTTTCACCCTTCACAGCCTCCATCTGCTCAACCAGGCAGGCTGCTGTCAAGCGACGTGCCCAGGCCAGCTCTGGGGCAGCATGGCAAACACAGAGCCAAGACACCACCAGCCCCATGCTGGCTCCCAGCTCCATGTCCACCCCTCACCCATGCTCCTGGAGAGGGGACCATGGCATCAGGAAAGCATATGGCAGTGGGAAAGGCTAAGGGTTAAAGGCCAATAATTCAGAAACATTTCCTGGCAGGAAGCTGGGCCATCATCAACTTTTTCCTCCAGGCACGGCAAGCCTGGATAGCCTTCCCCAGCCCTGCCAGTGGGGAAGATCCTGTTCTATGATGGTTACTGCCCCAGAGCCTGTAAAAAACCGTCATCTCACACATATCATGTGAGTTTCAGCAGAGGAATCACTCCTCTAGCAGTCAACCACAGCACATGCTGCGCTGCATCATTGGTTGTTTTCCAATACCAAGAAGACACATGTTCAAAAAAAAAGTACATAACCCAAACCAGAGCAGCTCCCATTTCAACTCCACCTTCAGCCATGTCCCAGAGAGGCAGCTCATCCTGAGCTAGGTTGTCCTGCTCAGAAGGAGGAAGAGCAGGTCACAGCCAACCTCCCATCGGCATGTTTTCTGGCAGGGAAATACACGGACAAAAATAAACAAATTAAAAAAAAAAAGTTGCTAGTTAGTTTTCTGTTCTCCTTGAGTAAGAGAGTTTTGTTGAAGTGTTTGCCACTTCTGGGAGGAAACAAAGTTAGCTATTTCAGCTGGGGAGGTGGCAGAGCTGAACAGCAGCACCAGCTCCTTGCCCCAGCTCACTCAGAGCCTGACCTGCCTCCACCAACAGCAGCTGTCCCATCCTAGCTGCCCCCCATCCTGCTGCAGCCCTGACAGATGCCAGCCAGCTGTGCTGGCACCTCGGAGCACGTCCCAGAGCCTCCACACCCCATCACTAAGGGCAATGCCTTCCCGTCCCAGCCCCAGGGGTGGTTTCCAGCAGCTTGGAAATCCTGCCCTGCTGGGCACCCAGCCCTCTGCCTTGCCCTGGCAGGTTTCCACCACCCCAAGGCACATGGGTTTTCACTTAACCGCTTTCCTTAAAACTCCTTTTCACTCCCCACAGCTCACTGCTGGGGACACAGAGCTGCCTCCATTTACCTCTGCAAACATTTTATTTCCACCCTTCACCTGCCTCCCCACCCCACCTCGCAGCTTCTGCTCCTTTTCTTTTTGAGGAGACCTTTCCCCAAACCCACCCAACACCACCCCTCATTACCCAACTCCTTTTACTATTGTTTCAGTTCTGCTAAAGTTAACATCCTCCAACACCATCGTCTTGGGGCACTTGCTACAAACTCGACAAAATCAAAGGTGAGACGAATTCATGCCAGAAGGACGAAGGGTCTCATCAGGGAGGGAGGAAGCTTGGTTTGGGCAGCAGGATCCAACTCGATGCAGGTGAAGGCTGCTGCCTGCAGCGCTGGACCCCAGGACAGCCCAGCCATGTGCAAGTCACTGGCTGAAACCCGGGGGTCCAGAGGAGCCTTTCCTGGGGGGCAGAAGGGGTCAGGTCCCACCAGCCCCACTCCTCCCAGCTGTGGGCATGCAGGGGGTTGCAGGACAAGTCCTGGGGGCTGGAGCTATTGCTAAGGGCTGGAGATGCAAGCTCCAGCTGGAGCCGTGCAGCAGACAGACGGATGAATGGAGCTCACCAGAGCTTTCTGAAATCAGAGCAAGGTGGGGAGCACACGCGTGCATGCACACAGCAGTGGGATTCAGGAGCACAGGAGAAGACTTTAGACAGCAGCACCCCACACACAGGCAATGCCAAAAAGCCACGCCAGCCGTGTACCACAGATAACCCCCACAAACTGCCCTCCTCTGGGGCCCAGCCCCATGCAGTGGGTCCTGGCATGGGGCCGTACTTACCCACAGACTCTGTGCAACCCCTGCAGCTCCGTGCCATCGGCCTGCTCGTATGTGGCCATGTTCTCCCCCAGCTTGAGGACGCAGTCCGAGAAGCCTTGGTAAACGTTAGCACAGGCAGTGCCCGACGCCAGCAGCCCGGCCAGGTGCCCTGCCAACCATCGAGGGGGTCGGCGTGAGCACTCAGACCTGGGGGGACGGACCCCAACCTCCCTGCCGGAGTGACCTGGGCACCCCTGGGCCACCACAGTGCCGGTGTCACCCAGGCACGGCGGGGTCTCCC